ATAGGTAGGTATTTCCATTTTTCTCACAGTGTGAGGATTTCTTACATTTTAAGCCATGTTAAGGTATGGCAACTTCGCTCAGTCAGTCTGCCACTTTGGTCCATACTGTAACAATGTAAGTCAACAACTACTGAATGGATGGACATGGAATTTTGTAGAGATATTCATAGTCCTCAGAGAATGAATCCTAACAACGTATCCTCCTACAACAGTTTGAATGATATCCTACAAATGAGAGACCCAAGAATGACGTTACATCAAGGATGTAACATTACGTGATTAATATAAAGTTAGGAAGGTAAGGTCTCAGCAAGTGGATAGATTTAGGAAAAGGAACATGATGAGGATGCACCTTAAAATGACTCAGAGTTTACACAGATTTGAACACCAGTCTCCTGGGGAAAGTCTTTGGGAAAAGTCCAACCTGCCTCCCAAGTGAAGTGTGCGGGAGCACTTCCCCCTTTACTGCTGCTGTCAGTACGTTAGTCACATGATCGCAGCTTTCTAAAATACATGGGTTAATCACAAATAACTGGCTCATCATGAGATACATACAAATTTTGGTGCATTACTTTTGTAGGAAACATACGAACAGTGCATTAGCATTGCCCAATCCTAATGACATTGTGATCATCTGATTTTTCCTCTAGCACCATCATCAAGTGAAAATTTCAATTTGTCCAATACTTTGTACTTTCATTTTGTGCTAATTAGCAAATGTAAGCATCCTAGCATGCTAAACTAGAGTGGTAGACACAGCATTGCATTAAATCTGCCTAACATCACTGTATGTAGACTTTTTAATTTTCTCTTCACCTGGCAGACCCTGCCACCCTCTGGGAACTGGCCTTTGTATATTGCAGGATCAGTTAGACCCACATTAGAACCTTAAATTTGGTTTTAAATCTGGAACAGAAGGAAATAAAGACACCCTTGGTGCACCATTATTGTGCTGTTTAAATAATCAAAGGAGCAAAATGTGCAACACTGCATAAAGCAACTTTTATTAGATTGTTAGAGTGGTAGAGTGGGGCTATAGGCTGTCCTGGGGGCAGAAATACCTCACACCCCGCAATGGCTCTACAAATTTTAGACACCGTTACACACAAAAGGCTGGGCTCTTTGCTTAGGGCACACCACAAGGCACATTATTAACATAAATGATACTGCAAACTCTTAAAAGGAATACTTATCTTTTTTTTTTTTTTTTTTTTTTTTTAACTTGCCCCGCAGGGTTTCCGTAGGTAATTAACTGGTTGAATTATTCTTAGTATTTTGAATTTAGGACTAAAATATGTTTGGGAATTGTTCTCCATTAAAAAAGAGTAACTGTTAATTTGACTAAGACCTGTGCCGGTGCAATTCCATGACTGTCAGAATCATTATTATAATCCCCTAACCTAACCCATGTCATATTAGGTCAATACAGAGGTGGGAAACATCTTTTTCAGGTTCAACCTCCAGGGCTGAAAAATGAAGCCAACACAGAAGTGCCAGAAACTGCAGTTCCTCAAATGGCCACTTGAGGCTGGCTCCAGAAGTAAGTCGATCCCCACGGACCTCCATGTTAAAAAGCCCAACTTTGCAACAGAAATAAACATGTTTACAGGCTGGTTCAAAAGCAGTTTTGGCCTGTATAGCTAACTTCCCCATTCATGACAACTGCACTGGGAGTGAATCTTTATGTAACTCACCCATTTACATTTAATTAAGGCTTAAAGTTACGCTTAATTAAGGGCGGGCCACTTTGAGTGAACAGGTTGTCCGTCGATAGTGTCCTCTACTTCTCAGTTAGATCCTCCTGTCACTCCTCCTCAGTGCCAGCCTCTCACCCAGATATGGTCACTTCTGGCTCCAGAAAAAGCAGGATGGTTACGGCCAACATGCCAAGCTCAAGGCTTCAAAACAGGACTCCACAAATGAATGGGTGATGCGGTAGATTCGTCCATTATTTCTACAGTTTATGGTTCCCATTATATGCTCCAAGGATAGGAATGACCTCCTTGCTATCACCAAGTTGGCACCATACATCAATAGGACGTCAGAATGATGTTGGACACGTGCATCAGACAGACGTTGAATTTTGGTTGGAATAAAAATAAGGTTGACGATTTTTTAAATGTCTATAAATGGTAGAATTTTACATTGTGGGGATGTTAACATTATCATGTTTTGCAGACACTGACACTCTATTTAAACCTTTTGAATTTGGTTATTTCCCAACACAATCTAAAACCAACAAAATATCAGCGTCATCTGTTGTCAATATTCTACATCAAATTGATCTTGGCATTAGATGTCCTAACACTAAGGTTTGGTCACCAGACGTCACAACCTGAATTCATCTAAAAATCAACATATAATGACATTGGTGGAACAATCACAGCTGATTCTGGGGGTCTTTTACATCACTCAGTCTATCAATGAGTCCTACAGCCCATTTATATCACAGTATGCAAAGGCCTGGCAGCAGCTCAGAGGCTGCTTCAAATCTAATAACCTCAAGGCTGATAACTGCTAAACCTCTCTGCTTCTGTGTGGAACTGTAGGATGTCTGCATTTCTTTCAAAAACATCACTGGTAAAAGCATGAATTGATTCACTTTTTATACCATCAGACCTTGAGACTGTAGCACTGTCTCACTCTTTTTCTCTTTCTCTCACAAACACAAACGCAAGGTCAAACAAAGACATTCTGCTTACTCTTAACTAAAGGCCATGTGAGGAAGCCATCCTTGATTCGGAGAAAAGATAAAAAAAAAAAAAAAAGATAAAAAAAGATAATCAGAAAGCAACGACACAGTGTTGAATAACTCATGGTTCATTCAAGTTGGAGTTTATTCACAAAAATATTTTTTTTTTTTTTTTTTCCCCATGCATTCACTCTGTTCATTCAGTCCAGTGAAATGTAGCTATTTAATAACTCACCCACAATTGAGTTGATACAAGGTTGCACAGCCACCATACAGAAGATGATTTTCTTAGTTATGTTTCAACTAGTAAAATCTATTATTTCTTCACATGCTCTCTGTGATTTCAGAGAATTAATGTATTATATGAAGTAGTCCATACCCATTGAGTGCACAGTTGCCCACGTACAGTTTCACATGGTGTGTGTTTGGGATACAGGTCATAGGAAATTGCAGATTAAAAAGTCAACTGAACCCATTAAGAAGAGCAATGTATTCAGACAGAGTTTTTGTGAATTTGATAGTACGACTGCTTTATTGAAAGTACAGTAGTACCATTGCCAGTAGTGGGATAGTTAGTGGGCTAAAACTGTACATTAGTAGTTGAGGTAGCACGTTGAAAGGCAGATAGTTAAAGTGTTCATATGTTGTATTGACTTCAAAAGTGGGGTGCACTGGTAGTTCACATGTGAAAGGTCCTGTTGTGCGTCTACCAAGTTTAGTAAAAATTGATATGGCAGTTAGGCCATTTTGTTTGATGGGGTCAATAATGGAGGGGTCCCCTCAGATTATGTGTGGTCATATGCCTACAAAGTTGTGTGGTGATCGGTGAAACCCTTGAGATGTTATACACCTTTATGTGATGAGCCACGCCCTCCGCAATATTCATTGCCTTATAGAAGCTCAGTTTTAGTAAGTTTTCCAACTTTTGCCAAGAGGGAACTTTAGATATTGGTCCCTAGATTATGTTCACCGAGTTTCATGCAGATCGGTCAAACTTCCTAGGAAGAGATCGATTTTAAGTGTTTTTCAAAAAATTCAAAATGGCGGAAAATCTATATAACCGGAAGTTATGGGTTCTTGAGGCAAATTTGTTCCTCATGAGGAGAGGCATCTCTGTGCAAAGTTTCATGTCTCTACGACATACGGGGCATGAGATATGCCCATTCAAAGTTTGCAATTTCAATCGGTTGCTATAGCGCCCCCCTTTGGCCAATTGATGTAATATTGCTTCATTCGCATCCTCCCATGACCCTCTACCACTGTGCCAAATTTCACATGGATTGACCAAGTCAGTGAGGAGAAAAACGTGGAACAGACACACAGACAGACAGACAGAGTTTTCGTCATTATATAGTAAGATAAAATTACAAAGCAAAAGAGTTCATAACTGATGTTTAAAGCCACTTGTTATATATCTTGTCAAAATGGCATTAAAATGAATTTAGAACTCAACCGTGCAAAATAACTCAAAATATTTCGCGGAGCATCAAAGCGAAAATGAATGTGGAAATACTGCAACATCATCAGTGCTGTGCTGATCAACAAGGAACTTACAGTGAGTTTAATGAGTAGCTAAATGACCGATAGATGTGCTTCAATAACTTGGCGGAGGTTTGGTAACTGGGTGAGTCATTGACCTGAATGTGGACATAGCTGAAGGTTGCTCCTTTCCAAGGAATCATAAAACTAATAATCATTTATGAAGCACGCCTTGTGGACACTAACATGACTGTACAGACAGAGTTTTCATCATTATATAGTAAGATCAGCAGTGTTTAACAACAAACTGTTAATAAATAAGTTTCAGGGGTGCTGGTAGGATGATTCTGTCACCTTTGGACAGAGCCAGGCTAACTGCTTCCCACTATTTCCTGTCTTTGTGCTAAGCTAAGCTAACTGGCTGCTGGCTGTAGCCATTAGACAGAAGGCAGTGAGAAGGAGAGCTTCTTCGTTGGTGTATTTGGCTGAGCAGCACGAAAAATTCAAAAGCAGACAATGATGTGTGCAGCTGCTTGATCAGCATAGGACCACGGCGGGGTGATACAGCACACAGATCCAACAAGAGCCCAGTTTGCTTTTCTAGTACATCCACAGTTAGTTAAGTGCATACTTCTGCAAATTTGGGCAGATGACCCACACATACCTACATGTCCACGCAAACTATGAATTGTCCTTAACTCTCAGCAAGAATGCAAATAAGTATATTTCTCAAAATGTCAAACTATTCCTTTAAAGACCTTCTCAAGTCTTCTCGCAGAGAGAAGTCAGGAGTTAAGTTTACTCAAATGCTTAAAATCAATTTCCTTACTTGTAAAAATGCTATGGATGACAGAGCACCCTTCGACTGTAATGTCTGAGATCTCCTTCCTTGAACAGAACAAAAGAGAAACAAAAACAGTTCTGTGAAAAGTACTGATGTAAGGGTCAATTCAAATGTTCAAGCAGAGGAAGAGGAGGGTTTTTTGTGATCAGTTGTTTATTGTTTGTATAAAGGAAGGAAACCACCACTGCAGTCATACAAGTGACAAAAGGTGAAGTGTAATACCACAGTTCCCCACCATTTCCCCTGTTCTCCTTCAACTAACCCACTCCACCCCCACGCTCTATGCCAGGGGCATATTGCTCGTGGCCCAGAACCAGCCCGCCAAAGGGTCCAATCCGGCTACTAGATGACTAGACTAAGAGGTGCCAGGTTTCAGCAGCAAGTTCAACAATGTGTTGCCTGCTTCATGTGAAATTCTGCTTCAGAGGCTTTTCCACTCCTACCAGAACACAGCTCTCTGATGTAACAATGAATACTTACTGTGACCATATTTAAAGATTTTAAACATTGTGCAAAATATTGTCAATCAGCAGCTTCAGTTTAAAACAATCTGTATCAGGAAATGTATGGACATGTAATGACAGTGAGAAGTGGACTCACTGAATGTGGAAAAACTGAGACATACTGTTGAAATTGCACGTATTTTTCTTAAGACATCTCAGACTGTTCGTCTGTTGTGTAATATACTTGTAATTCTTTACACAAAAAAGGGAGAACATTAGAGCTGATGTTACTTATACTATAGGTTATTGTGCGGTGGTTTTTATTGGTCAGGCCCATCTAAGAGATGAATTAGAATGAGTTTGACACATCTGCTCTATGCCCTGATATGGTGAACCAAAGTACACATGAGGCAGAAGAAAAGAGGAAGAAAAAAAATTAAAAAGCACGTATGCATGTACCTGTGTGCACACAAAAACACACACAAAAAAACCCTCCACCAAAACAAAACAGTACAACCCACCCATTCCTCACAACCCCCCCTCTGTGCTGCTGCAGAAAGCCCATGACCACTATCGACATAAACCAACAGCATTTAGACACAAAAGATTCACATTATTGTGCTGATTTCCTCCTTAATCCCTATTGCATGTTTTAAAGTATGTATAAATATTTCAATTGAGTAAACAGCAAAGCAAGCAGGTGAAAATGCATAAGAACATGACTGAAAAAGCCAGTTAACCACAAATATTTATAGTAAAACACTCATTTTCTCTGGTATCTTCTACCTGCTGGTCAAAGCTACAAGACGGAGAAGAAGTTGTACTTACAGTTCATGACTGGGTCCAATTGGCAGACAGACGATTACCAGCTCCACGAAATTTATTACTATCGTCACACACACAAGAACAAGGAGAATGACCTAAACATGCCCACACACACACACACACACACACACACACACACACACACACATACACACACATACACAGTTATTTCATACACACATCGAATATAACCTCTTACAATACAAACATTTGGATAGAAATACACATTTGTACACCACCTATTTACTTACTTTAATGGGCTCAGCCAAACAAAACAAGACCAGGGCTGATATCTCAATTGCTGCACAAAGCAGACAGCATGATATCTTTAATCCCTACAACACAAATAAAGTGTCAGCCATCTTAATAACTCCAAATAATTAGTACTGATTTTGTGTTTTTGATTTTAAAGGCAGAGACACGTAAGCAAATGACACTGACTGAGCCTATGAATGCCTTAGAGCAGTGGTTCCCAACTGGTGGGTCGCGGTCCATTCTGAATGGACCCTCTTTACACTAAAGAAACCCTATTTATTATATCTAATTTCTTTTAATATATCCACTGAAATCTCACACACTTTTTAATTCTGTAATTACTTCTCCATATAATTTTAATTGTTAGTAGCGGGGTCTGCCATTTCAGCACCAGATTCAAATTATCTTCCTATGCATGAGGGAGTCACAGGAAACATTACGAGACTGCGGGATGATGACAACCAAAAACAGTCACAACAGCAGCACAAGTTCTCCAACTCATGCCTTACCTTATTTGGATGAGAACAGAGGCTGTTAACGAGGGTGGTCATGGTCATTAATATAGTAGGTAGTTCCTGATAAGAGAGAGAGAAATGAAAATGAATAATCTGGCTTTTTTTTTTGGCAGGACTATGTGTAATGACATCTACTGGGTGTGACATGAGTTTTTAAATACCGTACCATTCTGAGTAGCACCAGCACGCTTCTGAAATTCATCACCGAAGTACCTACTCCCTGAAGAAGTTAAGAGACACATTAAAGAGTTGTGTAAATAAAGATGTTGAAGTTTATATATTAATGCATAGATTTGGCACAATGTCAAAAATAAATCAATCAAGTCCGCTTTTGCGTCTGTCCTTACCTTAAATAGGTCTAAAAGTCCGGGCCTTTGAGTGGTCGTGCTTGGTTCTGCAGTAGTTAGATTTATAGTATTAGAATCAGCCTCACTTGTACTACTTGATGTTGTAGTACTTATGGCAGTACTTGGCATTGTAGTACCTCTTGTAGTACTTGGCTTTGTAGTCTCTGTTGTAGTACCTGGTGTTGTAGTCTCTGTTGTAGTACCTGGTGTTGTAGTCTCTGTTGTAGTACTTGGCTTTGTAGTCTCTGTTGTAGTACCTGGTGTTGTAGTCTCTGTTGTAGTACCTGGTGTTGTAGTCTCTGTTGTAGTACTTGGCTTTGTAGTCTCTGTTGTAGTACCTGGTGTTGTAGTCTCTGTTGTAGTACCTGGTGTTGTAGTCTCTGTTGTAGTACTTGGCGTTGTAGTCTCTGTTGTAGTACCTGGTGTTGTATTTTTTATTGTAGTCATTGGCGTTGTGTCATTCGGTGAGGGCGTGGTGGGTGAAGGTAAAGTGACATTAAAATTCACCATATTCCAGAATCTGCTGAAAGACTCAACAAATGTGACTCTGAAACATATCAGACAGGCACAGATGTTAACGTTAATCATTTTGCTCAGGAGAGTATAGTAATCTTGACTTTTGGAGGTCAGTCAAAGTGTATGAATACCTAAAATTGATATCTGTGATGTCTTGTCCGCCTGCCGTCCAGTTAACATGAATCAAAGTCTTTCTTTGATTGTTTCTTTGAGAAACAGCCTGGCCCTGAGGAGAGAGACACAAGTAAAGAAACATCCACATGAGGGCTTGATAAGGCTTTAATCTTCAATTTCCACTTCATGTTCGTTTCAAGAGTTTGAAAAATGAAGCCAGTACGGAAGTGCCGAAAACTGCAGTTTTTTGAATGCTTGCTAGAGGCAAGTTTATCCCCATAGACACCCATGTTATTAAAATGCCCAACTTTACAGCAGAAATAAACACGTTTACAGCCTGATACAAAAGATTATGGTCTCTACATGTCATTTCCCACTTTCACCCCGTTTTATTAAGACTTAAAGCTACGCGTAATTAAGGGTAGACCACTTTTGATAACAGGCTGTGTGCCAATAGTTTCCTCAATTTCTCAGTCAGATCCACCCCTTGCTCATCCACAGCTCAATCCTTTTGCCCAGATATGGTCACCTCTGGCTCCCAAAACTAACCAAGATGGCGACGGACAGATTGTCAAACTTGAGGCTTCAAAACGGGTGTCCACAAACCAATGGGTAACGTCAATTAAAATCGTTGATTAAAATAGAAATGAGAAATGTGAATCTTCAACTAATCAATTCAATGCGCATTTATTACCTCTAATCATTTTGAAATGGAATGGTTACTTACTGGTATATTATGGCATTTCAGGAGTCGAGTCTTATCAGATTCAAGCAAGATGAAATTTCCAACAGGATGTTCTGTGCCGTTCGTCCAAGCCTCCAACATAAACCCCTTGAACTCTGCAGATTGTTTTCTTTTGAGAGTCACTGGACAATGGTTTTAAGGTTCATTAGTGGGACAGAAAATGTAGACAGATAACCTTGCACTTGGTGAATAACCACCGCAACAAAGACTGATAAACAAGCTTTCAAGAAAAGGGATCCAGTAGTCTCTTTACCTTTGATAGGGTCTCCCTTTTGGCTGTAGGTTAAAGTCATCGTAAAGGGCAGTTCAGTGTTCTGAGGTACATATTGCACCCCATCTCTACCCCTGTGGTTAACGAACATATTTCCACATGAATCTGGGAAGTAACCATTTGCGTACCCATGCACTTTTGTGACGACGTTAAGACCAATCAAAATCCACAACCACATCTGTAAAACAAAATGTCATTTTCATTAACATTAACATGCAGTCACTGGGGATTAATACCTGGGGATGGTGACATCATAATACATACTGAAGTCCCCCAACTTTTAAACAATGCAGTACAGAGCAACAATCCCCACACTCTTCATCCAATATACATGTAAACACTGTAAGATTAAAGTCAGCTCTTCAACTTTGTAGCAATTGTGCAATTGCAAATGCAGTTTGCTAGAATAAAGAGTCAACAATTAATTTCTTTTTGAAATAAAAAAAACATTTAAACAGTATGAGGCCTAAAGGTAGTTTAGCATTTAGAGATCTCTCTCACTGTTTTGATCAAATTCACACTTGGCTTTATGGTGCTGTAAGACCTCACTGGTAAATAATTAACAATATACCCATAGTGACAACTCCTTTTCTCTTACCTTAAAATATTTGTATACAGTGTCCCATATCATGAAACCACAAGTTAAGATGTCATACAACCAAAGACACTCAGAACTTTATGGTTAAGTCTCTAGAAAAGTAAAGAAATCTTAGGAATGTCTCTGAAGAAAGGGATCCTGCCTCCTGGACAATCCGGCATGTAGTGTGTGTTAGAGAGAGCAACATAACACCTCAGCAGAAAGAAGGAGGAAGTTAGAAAGGGCAATCTAAGTGCACGGCTTGAACCCACCCACTGGACAGCTAAATTATAAAGAAAATACAGCTTCCCTTTGCTGCGGCTTAGACCTGTGTCTCAGAATATTCTCAGGGTTTGAGGGTTTCCCAACAGCATCCAGGTTCTTCAAATGCTCTGGTCTAAAACTACTGCAATCACTCCACACAGCACAGATCCGAGTCTGCAGTGCTGGGAGAACAGCTGTTGCTTGATGAATGCATCAAATCAAAATAACTGTGAATTCAAAATCAATCCATAATGACACAGAGAAGTGCTGTTAGCTTCTTTCCTTGGAACGTAATATAGAATATGCATGTGCTTTGAATTTAAATGTCTATTTAAACAGCCAGGACGTTTTTGTATTTTTAAGTATTTGTATTTTGCAGTATTGTTTCAGTCAGTCAATCAGTCGATCAAACTTAATTCAACACAAAGTGCTTCACACAATAATACAATAAAACGCTAGGGGAAGGGGACGGGAAAGGGAAGAAGCTACAGGGCCCTGAAATGCAGCACCTCCAGACTGAGGAACAGTTTTTAACCTACAGCTAATCCTTTATCCTTTATTTATCGCATTTTAATGTGTGGGTATGTGAGTGTGTGTTTGGGCAGAGTGAATGGAACAGTTTTTTCTTTTATTAGAGTAAACTAGTCCATACCCATTGGTAGCTTTGTCACCTTCTACCTATGCCAATCCTCAATGCCTATGTGCAGTTTCACATAGATTGACCACGTCAGTGAGTAGAAAAACGTGGGACAGACAGAATGACTGACTGACAGAATGACACACTGACAGTTTCCGTGATTATGTACAGCATACCATGACTTAGTCATACCAAAAATTAGAAAAAAATAACAACATTGGGCCACAGGGGGAGCCACAGCGATCGATCACATTTTAGCCATTTTTAAGCATTTTTCTGTTGTTATAGCGCCACCCAGTTGCCAATTAGAGTTAAATTTCTCCAGTCACCTTGAGGCGTCCTGTTCTACATATCTACCAAGTTTAGTAAAAATCGATATGGCGGTTAGGCCTAGATAAGAAATTAGCTCTCTAGCGCCCCCATTTTGTTTGATGGGGTCAATAATGGAGGGGTCCCCTCAGATTATGTGTGGTCATATGCCTACAAAGTTGCGTGGTGATCGGTGAAACCCTTGAGATGTTATACACCTTTATGTGATGAGCCACGCCCTCCGCAATATTCATTGCCTTATAGAAGCTCAGTTTTAGTAAGTTTTCCAACTTTTGCCAAGAGGGAACTTTAGATATTGGTCCCTAGATTATGTTCACCGAGTTTCATGCAGATCGGTCAAACTTCCTAGGAAGAGATCGATTTTAAGTGTTTTTAAAAAAAAATCAAAATGGCGGAAATCTATATAACTGGAAGTTATGGGTTCTTGAGGCAAATTTGTTCCTCATGAGGAGAGGCATCTCTGTGCAACGTTTCATGTCTCTACGACATACGGGGCATGAGATATGCCCATTCAAAGTTTGCAATTTCAATCGGTTGCTATAGCGCCCCCCTTTGGCCAATTGATGTAATATTGTTTAATTCGCTTCCTCCTATGACCCTCTACCACTGTGCCAAATTTCACATGGATTGACCAAGTCAGTGAGGAGAAAAACGTGGGACAGAGACAACATAGACAGAGTTTTCATCATTATGCTGTAAAGCCCTGTGAGGCAAATTGTGATTTATAAATAAAATTGATTGATTGATTGATTATACAATAAGATTATGGGCTCTAGTTTCCCGGCACAGTGCAGGGTGGCGAACCCCACGCAGAGATAGTTTCGAGCAGCGCAACCCGAGGCACTCAGACACTGCGAGCTTGGACCTCCTGGACCAAAACATCAGTTTCCTCCTGGGAGAAGTTTGGCCGTCTGACGCTGCTGCTCTCTTCTGCCATGGCGAATTGAGTAAACTCTCATTACACCTTTGCGCGGCGCATTTAAGGGCGAGGAGAGGGGCTCATTTGATTGGTGTGATGTGTGTAAAACCCACTCCACGCCTTCTCTCCTCCCTCTTTCCGACTTGCGCAGGTAAGAAGGACAGAGGTGGGAAAGAGGAGTAGCTGCGCCAGGCGCACGGTGTGCCAAACTTGTAAAATCCGACTGGCCACACCCAGTTGGCGAAGCGCAGGTGCACTGCGCCCCCGCCTCGCCTGGTCTGCGAAACTAGGGGCCTATATGTATTGTCCCATATGGATCCCTCTAGTGATGATGATAAAATATGAAGAGGCCAGCACTGTCCAATCAATGACTTCAGTCAAGTTCATATGACTTCTGTGCTTATTTTTTTAACATATAAAAGGTCAGTGTGAATATGAATGGGACCTGAACTATGGGAAACAAAGTATCCCCTATTGTTTTTGGGTTTGTTTGTTTTTTTGTTTGTTTTTTCTGGCATCCGGACCAAAAGAGCCAAACTACAGGTGTGGATGCACGTTTGGTGTGACTACACTTGCTTGTTTTTAACAGCCCCTGCAAAGGAGCAGGAACTTAAATGTAAAAACTGGCAGACAGGGAAGTCTCTGTTTTTATGCTTCTAAATTCCTGCTAAGATCAGAGATTCAACAGTGTGTACATTATTTCAGTCTGCATAGTGTATGTGTTTCAATCAGGGCTGCTCAGAACACAATTATCGTGGCCAGAGGAGTTCACAATATTGATATGATCAAGACATCCATAGAAATTTGAAAAAAATAAGTAAATAAAAATGCTATAAGTCAAATTCATCTTTAACTTTGTGTATTGTGCATTTTGCCTCTTTTTTGGCAAATGATTTACACTTACGAGTGTAGGGAGGTGGATAGAGATTCTGTTAAACTGGTATCTGCATATGTATGCAGTGTCTGTAGGTGACAGATTTTGGCATCGGAAGCTCCTGTTCTGTAGTTCGGTTAGTATTAAGCAATCACATTTGAACAGCAGGTCCATGTGCAGAGGCGAAACTCATTTCCTGAAATGCAATCTTGGAACCCATCAGCTGTTTGACAACAGGTTAGCTTTATATTAGATTTTTTTTTAATTTAAATGTATTTACATGCAGATTTCTGCTTATAAAGATTAGCCGAAATGAGTAGCGCATGGATGAGGAAGTCTTGGCTTGGATATTCACTGGCTATACCAGATCAGCCCAAAATATTGGCCTTCACCCCCAGAGGCATATCATCAGACAGATAGCTGATGGGTTCCAAATTGCTGTGACCATAACTGTACAAAAGCATACAATAAAAGCAATTTCACTGAATGGATTGTGAAAAGGCAAGAAGATGGTGTTAGGGAAGGGACACAAAGCGAAGCGGAAATAAGCAGAAATTATTTCAGAGGTGCTGGATCATTTACACGATATTATCATATGCATATTATTAAGCTGTAATCAATATTTTATTTTCACTTATCATGGTTATCATCAATACAAGTACATCGCGACAGCCCTAATCTGAACTGTCACATCTGAGACACGCATTTATGCATTCTGTCTGGATCAGTCTGGATCATTTAGCCTCAATTTCCTTTCTCTGTGCATTATTTATGTTTGATGCATCAATTACAGGAAGAAGCATGCCCCGAGGATATGCTGTCCTCAGCTGACCCAAGATTTCTGTTTTGAGCAGGGACATGTTTAGCCTCTGTGTGTATATGGGAATGACCCGACATGCCATCTGCACAAATCTGATTAAAGAAATGCTGGCAATTGGCCACAATCAATAAAAGCCTGGGCTTTATTAAGAGACGATATCATCACTGGAACAGAGAGTAAACACTTAGTAAAAACCTTAACAAAAGAATGGCAATGAATGGCATTTATGTTGAAACACCCTTGTAGCTGTGGTGTCAATCAGCTAGCGTGGATTCAAGGTTTTGTATTCCCCAATAATCCCTAAATAAAACACCTGCATGTCTGTTTTTACATCTACACACACATGCAAGTGCAAATGAATGATTCCTTTAACCTTTTACAATGTATTCTGATAAGATATTTATACAGTTTGTACTCTTCAGTGTGACTGATTTATGCTCATGTGACTGATTTATGTTGGTGTGTTTTCTGTTTCCCAGGCCTCAGCTTTTATTAGTTGTAGCGAGCATGACAGTTTGATCTTGTCAGAGTCAATGGCTTTGTTTCTCCCATGCGCCAACTCTGAAATGATGGATTGTCAAGAGGTGTTTTACCGCGAAAGACTTGTGTGGATACAATTTGTGATTTAAATTGGAAACAGACAGTGATGGAGAATTCTCATGTAGTGTCCATTTTATCTGCTTCCTCACACATGCAGGCTGACAAATAGAGTCCTGGTGACTATATGTGTGTGTGCTCTTATACTTCTATTTTTGTGAGGACCCATTTGAGTTTTCATGAAATTGAGGATATTTTATGAACATAAGGGCAATTTAGCCCATGCTTTTGGGGGGCCAAGACTTGGTTTTAGTGTTAGACTGAGCATTAGGTTTGTGTAAGGGTTATAAGAAATACATTATCTCAGTGAGGGGGGATCCCCACAAGTATAACATTAAGAACATGTGTGTGTGAGAAAGAGAGAGATTGTTCAGTCAACCTGCCATGCCTGTGTCTATGTATAGAATGTACATGGGACTGCCTCTATGTATCTTTGATTAGAATTCACAAGACAGACGAGCCATTATATCAGCGGCTCTCGCTTCTCACTGTCAGAGCAGAACAAAAAAGGCGGGCCTTCAGTTTCAGCCATGAGGAGTCAGAGGCAGTAATTGTGTAAGTGGAGCAGAGGAAACCCCACCTTTTCAGAAACCTTTCTCCTCAGTAAGCCTATTTAAAAAACATTCATTGAAATTACTCAGTTTAATTATTGATGTAAACTATTTGTTGAAATTGAAAGTGTCATCATACGGTTTAATTAAGTAGCCTCTCAATCACATCAATCATCTAACCCTATATTTTAGT